GCAACATTATTTGTACAATGTCCATTATGAGGTTTATACCCATCACCGGAGTCTACAACATCTGTTTAAATAGAAGGATCTTAATTTGTTACAGCAAAGGTGGTTGGAGTTGCTTAAGGATTATGATATCACCATTCTTTATCATCTCGAAAAGGCCAATGTGGTGGCCGATGCCTTGAGTCGTAAGGCGGAGAGTTTGGGCAGCTTAGCATACTTACCTGTAACAGAGAGGCCTTTAACCTTGGATGTTCAGGCCTTGGCCAACCAGTTTGTTAGATTGGATGTTTCCGAGCCAAATCGAGTTTTGGCTTGTATGGTTACTCGGTATTCTTTATATGATCGCATCAGAGAGAGCCAGTATGATGACCCCCATCTGCTTGTCCTTAAGGACACAGTTCAGCACGGTGATGCCAAGGAAGTTACTATTGGAGATGACGGTGTATTACGGATACAGGGCATGCTGTGTGCCTAATGTAGATGGTTTGCATGAGTTGATTCTCCAAGAAGGTCACAGTTCGCGGTACTCCATTCATCCAGGTGCCGTGAAGATTTATAGGGATTTGAGGCAGCATTATTGGTGGAGGTGAATGAAAAAAGATATAGTTGGGTTTGTAGATCGGTGTTTAAATTGTCAACAGGTGAAATATGAGCATCATAGACCGGGAGGATTGCTTTAGAGACTTGAAATTCCAGATTGGAAATGGGAGCATATTACCATGGATTTCGTAGTTGGGCTTCCACATACTTTGAGGAAGTTTGATGTTGTTTGGGTGATTGTGGATCGATTGACCAAGTCCGCGCATTTTATTCCAGTTGGTACTACTTATTCTTCGGAACGGTTAGCTGAAATTTATATCCGCGAGATTGTTCGTCTACATGGTATGCCAGTGTCCATCATTTGAGATTGGGGCACGCAATTTACAATACATTTTTGGAGAGCACTGCAACAAGAATTAGGTATACATGTTCAACTAAGTATAACATTTCACCCTCAGACGGACAGACAGTCCGAACACACTATTCAGATCTTGGAGGACATGCTACACGCTTGTGTCATTGATTTTAGGGGTTCTTGGGAACAATTTCTGCCACTGGCATAGTTTGCTTACAACAACAGCTACCAATCGAGCATTCAAATGGCTCTGTATGAGGCTTTATATGGGAGACGGTGTCGGTCTCCGGTGGGTTAGTTTGAGCCAGGTGAGGCTAGGCTATTGGGTACTGACTTAGTTCAGGATGCTTTGGAGAAGGTTAAGTTGATTCAGGAGCGGCTTCACATGGCACAGTATAGACAGAAGAGTTATGTTGATAGGAAGGTCCATGATGTTTCTTACACGGTTGGGGAGAAGGTTCTACTCAAGATTTCACCTATGAAGGGTAAGTTGAGCCCTCGGTATATTGGGCCTTTTGAGATACTTAAGAAAATTGGAGAGGTGACTTATGAACTTGCTTTGCCACCTAGTCTATCAGGTGTTCATCCAGTATTCCATGTATCCATGCTCCGAAAGTATGTCGGGGATCCGTCTTATATTTTGGATTTCAGCACAGTGCATCTGGACGGTAGTTTGACTTATGATGTGGAGCCGGTGGCTATTTTATACCGACAGGTTCGGAAGCTAAGGTCAAAGAATATAACATCAGTGAAGGTACAATGGAGAGGCCATCCAGTCAGAGAAACTACTTGGGAGGTTGAGCAGGATATACGGAGCAAATATCCACATATATTTGAGACTCGAGGTATGATTCTAAACTCGTTCGAGGACGAACTTTTGTTTAAGATGGGGAGAATGTAACGACCCAGCCGGTCGTTTTAAGTATTATAACCCCGTTCCCTCATTTACTGCCCAATTTATGCCTTACAGTTATTTTATGACTTACCGAATTAGTTGGTTCGGGTCCGGAAGGATTTCGGAGTGAAATGAGACACTTAGTCTCATAATTGAAAACTTAAGTTGGAAAAGTTAACCGGATATTGACTTATGTGTAAATGACATCAAAATTTAATTCTGATAATTTCAACAGCTTTGTATGCTGATTTTGGACTTAGGAGTGTGTCCGAAAAATTATTTGGAGGTCCGTAGTGAAATTAGGCTTGAAATGGCGAAAGTCGAATTTTTGGGAAGTTTGACCGGGGGGTTGACTTTTTGATATCGGGGTCGAAATCCGATTTTGTAATTATTAATAGGTCTGTTATGTCATTTATGACTTGTGTGCAAAAATTTAAGGTCAATTCGACTTGATTTGATAGGTTCCGACGTCGTTTGTGGAAGTTTGAAACTTTAAATTTCATTAGGCTTGAATTGGGGTATGATTCATTGTTTTAGCGTTGTTTGAGGTAATTTGAGGGTTCAATTAAGTTCGTATCATATTTTAGGACTTGTTGGTATATTTGCTTGAGGTCTCGGGGGCCTCGGGTGAGTTTCGGATGACTAACGGATAAATTTTGGACTTTGCATTCCAGCTGAAGAATGCTGGTTTCTGTCACTGGTTTACTTCTATACGATCGCGTGAAAAGGTCCGCGATCGCATAGGCTTGTTTGGGCGGAGGTGAGATTGTTCTATGCGATCGCGTGGTTTTGGACAGACTGTGCATCGGGAACGCATGGCTAAAGCTGCGTTCGCGTAGAAGAAATATGGCAGTCGGGGGCCACACACTTAATTCTTCGCGATTGCAAGTCCGCGATCGCGTAGGCCTTAGAGTGCTACACTTCGCGATCGCATGAGTGAACCTGCGATCGCGTAGGGTAAAGATTTTGGGACAGTTTGGTTATTCTTCGCGATCGCGTAGAGGAGTCTGCGATCACATAAGGTGAATTATGGGTAGTCGAGTTTGTGCTTCGCGAACGCGAGGCTCCTTCCGCATTCGCGATGAAGGCATATCTGGGTAGAATTAAAAGTCCCAAAACAAGGGTTTTGAGTTCATAACACAAAATTGAATTGGGGGCTCGGTAGGGCGGTTTTTGGAGAGATTCTTGCGTGGGTGTCTGGGATAAGTGATTCTTATCTAGTTTTGGCTATTTTCTATGATTATGCCTTTGAATCCATCATTTAATGGGTGAATTAAGTTGAAAACTTTAGAAAGTCCTCTTGATTTAATTTGAATATTTGAGGGTTGAGTTGAGGTTAGATTTTGGTAAAATTGGTGTGGTTAGACTCGTGGTTGAATGGGCTTTCGGATTTTGTAACTTTTGTCGAGTTCCGAGACATAGGCCCCACAGGCGATTTTTGAGCTAAATTTCGCATTTTGATGGAAATTTAATATTTTCTTATGGAATTAATTCCAATCAATTTTATTGACTGAGTCGAATTCTTTGTGGCTAGATTCGAGGCGTTTGGAGGCCAATTCACGAGGCAAATGTATAGCAGAATAAAGAATTACACAGTTCTAAACTTGGTCATGAGGGTATTAAATCTCGGATTATGTGTTATATGATCAGTTTTTTGAGGTGACGCACATGCTAGGTGACAGGCGTGTGGGCGTGCACCGTAGGAATTGTGACTTGGTCAAATTCCATGGAACTGTGTAAGTACCCACACTAGGGTTAGGCCACAACCCTAGCTAGAAATTTAGCTACTCATATTGGGTAAAGAAGAAAATAAAGAAGAAAAGATGATTAAATTCATATTTAATAATAAATAGATGAAAATCCAATGTAAAATTGACAAGCTATGACAAAGTTTCCTGAAACAGTAAATAAAACGGCTACCAACTTCCATATATTCAAAACTTGACCTAATTTCGTGAAAGTAGTCTATTTATACAAAGTTGGAATTTTCGGACAAAATTGCCCTTTAGGAGGTTCTGCGGCCGCACAATTCTGTGTGCGGTCCGCACTTTTCTTCAGCTCTTGACATGAGTGGATTCTGCGGCCGCACAATTCTGGATTGCGGCCGCAGCTCTTGAGTTATGCGGTCCGCATAATTTTGGGTGCGGCTGCACAATTATAATGCGGTCCACAGTTCTAGTTGGGCTTGAATTTGACACTCTTTGAACTCTTACTTCTGCGACCACATTGTACATTGAAGCTCTGTTGAATTTTCTTCTTGTTTTGCGACCGCAGACCAAATTCTGCAGTCCGCATTTTAGCTTTTTTGCTTGATTTTTATCTTTGTTCAAAATCACTCTTTCTTGAGTTGAATTTCATAACTTTGGCTCATTTTCTAATACTCCTGCAAGTAAGCATATTTCATTAGTTTTCGGGAATACCTTTAAACATTTTTGAACTAAAACAAAAGTCAAAAAGCGCAAATAGGTAGTCAAAATCTCCACTTATCAGCCCCGAACGTGATTCCGACTTAATTGCTTGGATTTTACTCAGACTTCAAAGCTCTAACTTGTTCAAATTAGCTCCAAATTATCTTAATAGCTCGGAATCACTCCTACAAGGCATAAAACACACAATAAGTGCAAAGACACTACCAATTAAAGTTCAACACAAGTAAAATACACTGAATTAAAGTGCAATAAGCGATTAAAACACGAGATTATAGCCTATCAATCAACGACATATTCAAACCCGGTTTGGCTCTTTGGACAAACTTTATTGTTTCTAAAGCATTTTTTTCCCTTCAAGATATCACTTATTCATATTTTTTGTTGGTAAAGAAGACTCACGTTGTTGCAAAAAAAAAACCTATCGCGTCTAAATTAAAATCTAATACACTTCATAAAATATGTTGAAAAAAAATTCTCATAAAATAATATGTCTTGTCTCATTTCACATGACATAGTAATTATTTTGGGAGTAAAAAGATTTTTTTCTCTAACTATGAAATATTCTTATATATATTTTAAAATATTCTTAGCTATAAAGTACTTAGTACTTTGTTTAGTTTTCAATCTATTTTCCTCCTACTTTCCTTTTCCTTCCAGAATACGAATTTAGGAAAAATTAGGAACTGACACGAAAAATCAAACCGCGTAATATAATATTTTCTTTTTTAATATAAAGAAATCACAATAAAAAAATATCAAAAAGGAAAAAAAATAATACAGATTCTCCATATTCTTTCCCCCCCTATTTATTAATAAAAAATATCTCAATTATTCATTCTTCTTCACTTCTCTCTATCGACCTGTAGCTAACGCCTCGGCTCTCTCCTGTCAGCTTCAATTCTCTCTTAATTATCTCATAAGTTCTTTATATTTCTTTGCAAATCTAACCTTTATTTATTATGTTCTGTTTTTGTTGTTGTTAAATTTTAGGGTTTCGATCGTATGAAGAACCCGAAGCTTTAATCGAGAAAACAATTCGGCACAATTGAGAGAATCACAGAAAGTTTTGGGCTTTTCTTGCCAAAATCAGAGGCCTTGTTGGTGTTGGTGAAGTTGTATTAGAGAAAAAAAAGAAAAAAATCGATAAAGTTAGGGTTTTTATTTATTTTGTGTTAATTTATTGTACGTTTGTTTCGTTGTAGTGTATCGCAATTTAATGAGAATTGGTGTGAAGTGTAATACTGATAAATTTCCTTCTTTTTTTCAGTTTTGATTTTACTTTTTTTGGTTTCCCCAGTTACATTCAATTGTTGTAGTGGATTATTCAGTAAAAAAAAGAGGAACAATTTGTTATTGAAGGTTAATTTTGTTATTATATGCAAAAAGGAAAAAAAAAGATAAAAGCTTTATTGAGTTAGTATTTTCAATTGAGTAAAAAAGAAAAGGAAAAACAAGGAAAGTAAGTTATTTTGTATTGTTTGTGGAAAGAGGAGGCGATATGAGTAGCACTGCATATGGAGTATCTGAACCAATTTCAACTGGTGGGCCCGCTGAATTGGATGTCGTTAGAAACCGCGAATTGGAAAAGGTTTGTTCTTGATTTATTTTGACTTGTTAAATTTTTGTAGTACATGTTTAGAAAATTTGACTTGTCAATTTTCGTTGCGAATATTGGTATGTGATGTTTAAATGGAGTAATATGGTCAGTAAGGATTCATATACTCACCCCAACTTGTTTGAGGCTGAGGCATTGTTGTTCTTGCTGCAGTTGCGTTGTTGTTATGAATGGAAAAATTATCTTTTTTTTCTGCTGTGTTTAAGATGGCTTTCTAGATTATGTGAAAAGAGTATGAATTAACAAAAAAGAGTTCCTTGACATTGAATTCCTGGTAAGGTTGAATTGGCATAATTCAGAAATCAGAGGTATAAATTGGGGTTTTTATGTTTCTGTCCACTTGTTTCTTGAACAGATTTGTAAGTTGAAAGTTACATTATATACTTGTTAATGATACTTGAATAAATCAGCTAGAACACATGGATTCCAATGACATACTGTTGCTAAACTCCAAAAGACCAAAATTGTATGTATATAT